GGGGTGATGCGACCTACCGTAAGGCGGAAATGTCTCGAGGTACGCCTGGAGAAGACTGCGCTCGGCGCTGGCAGTCGTACGTAGGCATCNCAAGATAACCATCAGCCAGCAGGATAGGAGCAAAACCAATCGCTCCGTCATCCTTACAGGAACCTGTGGCTATAGTACAGGGCATGGAGCAAGCGGGACGCCGTTGAGACCGGTGGGCACTGAGGCCGTGTGCATGAGCGTGCACGCTGCCATTCTGGAAAAGAGCGCAATACATAATATCAATTCGGTTAGGATGAAGGGTGCTAGCGTCTATTGTTGGCATGACAAGCTAAACTGTAGGTTTTCTGAGAGTAACGAAAGAAAACCAAGGTTTTCTGTGTATTTGCCGAGAGCGTACTCGGCAGTTCGTTGGTGGTACGGCGGGGCCGTACTGGTGAGAAAGTAGGGCAAGTCGCGGAGAGCGCGACGGAAAGAGCAATTTCGCGAGTTAATTTAGTCAGTACTGACAGGTTTCCACTGCGTCGTCTGCCAATTACACCGCCCCGAGGCAGATAACGCAGTCGGTAACCATGTTCCCGTTCCTCGGTTTAGAGGTCGCCCTAGTGGCAATGTTCGCGGGCATCGTTATGATGCCAGCTAAACGTAGAGTCGGTGACCAAGTGGTAGAGCTACAGAAGGTGCTTGCAGACTTACACGCGCAGTTGACCGCAATAGAACAAGCCGACGACTATCAGAAGGCCTCCTCCATGCTGGCCTCTGACCCTCTAGCACGTTTAAACAAGAAAAAATTTTCTACCGCGATGGGCCACGCTTGGGATACCTACGTCGCATTGAAGAGTCAAATGGCGAGTGTCAGCGCGCACATTGCTCAACTGGAGATGACCATGGAGCAGCCAGCTATGAAGGTTCTCGTCTCCGACAAGTCTGGTCGCGTCATGGAGCGCCCATTGAAGGACCTGGACTACGTCAACGATGGCTGGGTCAACAAGTCGGGCAAGGAGCACAAGGCGCTCAAGCGGGAGAACCGGGAGCTGAACCAAATCTACCATGCCCTTCAGAAGGTCAACCGCAACCTGGAGGACGAACGCGAGGCGCGCCGCGATGAGGCCCCACCGGAGCAGATTGAGGAGTTGGAGAAGGCAACTAACGACGCCATCACCGAGGGTGAGAACTTGCTCACGGACCTAAACACGCGGCTGCGCAAGGCGATGTTGGTGGGTTGGGAAACCGTTGAGTCGTTGGACCTCCCTGACTGCTGCAAGTCCGAG